GGGGGGGGGGGAAATCAAAGTTTCCTATAATATCTTGAAGTTTTCAGAACTGACTCATTTCAGGGTAGTGAACTCTGAGAGGGAGGAAAAAAAAAAAAATGTAAGTGATGCTTTTTACACCGGACTTTTATCCTGGACACCAATAACTTTGAACTGTCTTTTAGCATGGTACCAAAGTCTCAGTGAACACTGGCGCCCTATCCCTTGGCGAGGAGGACTAATATGATCATAAGATTCACAAACAAAGAAGAATCGTCCAAAAGCAGGAAATTGGTACCATTCTTTTAGGCAGTTTGATGGAAAGCCTGCATCTAGTTCCAGTTTCTATACCTCCAAAAGAGTACTGGCAAAACTAGAAAGGATTGGAAGATAGCAACAAAAATTACTCTGGATCTCACAGGGAAGGTGTTGAGAAGTTCAGCCAACTTAGTTTACTGAAGCAAAGATGAAGAGAGCAGCTTAATCACAGTGTAGAAGCAGGAAAATTTCTGAGAAGGCAGGATTCTTATTTTTGCCAGCAAAAGCAGGCCAAGAGCCAATGGTTGCAAGTTAAAAATAGACAAAATAAAACTAGGGTAAGTAACCACCAAAACAATTTACTTAAGGATGTGGTGGGTTCTCCTTCATTTGAAATCTCTACAAGAAAAGCCACCAATCCTTTTTAAAAGATTCTGCTGTTTACTACAGACTTGAAGTTCAGTTCATCCTTTTCCTGTGTGTTTAAGTGATTTCCCACAGCACAAGAAAAGATGAGGCATCCAGAGAAATTTCTGGTCAAAACAGAAGCACAATCACATTCCTTCACCTCCAGGGTCAGGCAGCCCCTAGACAGCAAGCAGCCAGCATCCTAAACCCATCCTAAATCCATCTTGGCTGCTTCAGAGGTGTCTGCTTTTCAGTCCTTTAAGTCAAATACTGAAAGGAGACTGTCTGAGCTCTGCAGAGGCAAGTGCTCCCCTGCTTCACCTTTTTACACTGGTAAATTTGGAACACCTCCTCCTCAAATTTTGTCTATGGTGGACTCTGCTGTCAGGCACCTTGTATCTTGCTTTGGGAAGAGGACCCAAAGTGGAATCTGGAAGCACCCAGACCCAAAGCCTGCCCCAGGCTGCTGGAGAGGGACAACGCTGACTACCTTCATGGAGGTGAAGTTCCGCGGTCGGTCAAACTGGAACTCCATTTCAACAGAGCCTGTGCTGAAGCTCTCGTTCTTCCAGCCAACGTAGTCGTAGCCTGGCCACACACGGTACTGGTGGCTCTGTGTGAAGTCATCCAGTCCCAGCACGCCGTCCGTCAGCTGGCCCAGACCACCGTACAGGTGCCTAGCAAGGAAGAGCCAACAGTTAGGCAGACAGCCAGGAGAGCTCAAACGTGAAAGCACAGGGGTCCTTCAACTGGTATTGGGAAAACAGTTTATCTACTCTTAACCCACTCTGGACAAGAACTCATTCCCTGTTCTTATGCAACATCACCTTTATTTTGTTCAGGATGGGCTTTTAAAATCTTTCCCTGCTTGGGAAAAGGCAGAAATTTTTGTGTTGCTATCAAGCACCGACAGCAAAGCCAAGCTACGAGCAGAGCCTCGTGAGAATGAAAACTGAGACTGCAGCAAATGACACTGCGCTCTCCAAACAGCCTGAACTGCATTTCACCATGGGGCCCATGGGAGGAACACTGCTCCATCCTGTCCTGAGGGAACCAGCAGGGAAAGTTTTGCAGGCAGGCACAGAAAAGCAGGAAAAAGAGCAGTGAGACCATGGGCAGCTCACCCAGCCACAGCCAGTTCTAACTGGGATCATTTCTGGCACTGCGCCTTGTGCAAGAGGAGAGTGTTGGCAGCTCTGTTTCCAAGACTGATCCGACTATCTGCCCAAGACCCTGCCTCTTTCCACTCCTATCTGAGAGCGCAGAGCCCACTATACAGTTTTCCAGCATGATCCCAGAGCAGAAGGTGCCAGATGTGGTATGCTCCTGACCCACCTGCCTTCCAGGAGCCATCCCTGGCATGTCCCTTGTCCTGTAGCAGGGAAAGTGCAAACGGTTCAGCTGTCTTCATGCCTGAACTCTCTCCCTGGCAAGCTCCCCGTTTCGTTCAGCTGCCCCTGGACAGGCTTTGCAACCCAGGCCAGGCTGCTGCTACATACACTGAAGCTCTGCAAGTCCATTCCAGGTGAGCTCTGCCATCACTAGAATTTGCACAGGTGTGTGTGCCTTTGAACTCCAAAACAGGATTAGCAGTTGGAAGAGGCAGACTCCTGCATCCAGGCCAGCCAGGCACACAACCTAGAGGTTAAGTAGTTTGAAAGAGTCCTTGCTTAGCACAGAAGGTTTTGTGCTACCTCTAGAGCTCTCTGATGGTCCCCAGCAAATTCAGCTTCCTAGTTCAGTGCTGGACAGCTAAGCACAACACCTACATCTTTCTGCACATAAAACCCCTCTTTTTTTAATATGCAATCTCTACTATGTCAATGCAGCTTGAAAGCATCAGATATTAACATATAAAGACATTGTTATCCAGTATCTTGCAACATCCTACAAGCATGAAAAATGGACTTTCCACCCCATTACTTTAACCTCCAGCACAACAGAACACAAATAAGTTTAAAAAAAAAAATCACCTCTAAACACCAAAAAATTTAAGCAACAGTGACAATTTTCAGGAAGTTACTGACAACTGAAAAAGGACATATAATACAAGCACCTTAAGTCAACGGATGACACCAGGTCACTGAAGAGACTGTCAGGTCATTTCTGAGGCACGTTCCTGCACAGGCAGGGATACGCTGCCTCAGGAGGACAACCCATGCCCAAGTTTGTCTGAGGTTTCAAGCTGTTCAAACACACTCGAATCTGTACTTACAGCAAAGAAAGCAGCCACACTAAACGTCTGGAGGTTCAGCCAGTTATTTAACATTCCAGATACAGACTCTCAATGAACTCTCCTTCCATGACAGTCAACTATTGGGTAAACCAGAGACACCTCTGTATGTCAGTAACATGTCACCCTACCTAACCTCAGTGATGTGAAAAATTAACAGACCTTGTAACGAGCTGCCAAAATCCAGTTACTTTAGGCTTTTAGACTCCAAATTGGAAAAGCATCATACCCAAACAATCTCTACAGTGAGTAATCAGCCACCTTCCTCTCACACCAGAGTGGCAGTGGTGCCTCTGCTGACCTGGAGCTTCTCACAGGGAGTGATGCAGTTTTCCAAGTTGTTTCAAGTCCATCAGAGCTTTGTTTTCTAAAACAGTATCTCAACTCTGTCCAGAAGCTCACAGGTATCAAGCGCAGGCCTAGAGTCCAGGTGGTGCGCACTTTCTCAGATGCCCAGTTTACCCTGGAGACCTCCTGCAACAGTTTAAGATGCAGTCTGCTCGAGAATGTATTGCAGATACCAAACTGCAGAACCAAAGGCGACGAAGAGCGGAAGGACCTTCATCTGCTCCAGGGCCACTGGGACTGCACAGGTAGAAGGTCCAGCCAGCTCTCCCACTCCAATCTGGGGCGACAGAAGAGTAGCAGCACCTTATGATCTGCAGTATCAACGACAGCTTAAGGCTATACTTGAACCAACCAAGAAATCAGTGCAATGAATATGGTCACAATTAGAGACCAAAAGCCACGAGGGCTTTAAGGCAATCAGACGCATCAGGACTGTGTCATCACATCACAAAGATAGAAGCTACGAACAAAGACAGCACTTAGCTGTATGAGGACACATTCTTCTCTTTAAAGAGAAGCAACAACTTCAAATAACAAAAGAATTATTTCTTTCCTGCCAGCCTCTGTCAGCTGGGGGAAATGAATCCGATGGATCCTGAGCCCATGCCCTCCTTTAGAAGGGCAACTAACAACACGTCAAAGGGCCTGGAATAACAAAGTCATGACGCTTTGGAGAACCAGTAGGCTAGCCTGCAGGCTCTGGAGGTCTCAAAGAAGCGTTTGGGACATGAGATAGCAGTCACAGGGTAAGTAGGAAAGAAGAGATAATTGGCACAGTGACCGAGAGAGAACGGGACGACTTCTCCCACCTGCGCTCCTGGTAGCCATCATAGGTCGAGTCATTCAGATAAACGATGGGGAAGCCAGGAGCCGCTATTGTCCCTCCTTCAGGGATGCTATAGGATGCCAAACCATCTAAAAAAGAAGGCCATATACCTCAGAAATACAGCAGCAGCAGCCTTCCATCACCTCTGTCCATATGATCCTTTCACTTTTGATGTGGACCAACAGAAGCAGTTCCGTGGGCCTGGGATTCCCTCTGCACACGTGGGGACGCAGATGAGTCCCAGTCAGCGTTGTGAAAGGACTACTTTCCAGTGACAGGCATGGAAATTGCTACTTACCATACCAGACACAGCCATAAAGCTCCACCCTCATACAGACAGTCATTGGCATCTCGGTCACAGGAATCACCCGGATAAAACGTGCAATGATGGGAGGCCGAAGATCTTTCAAGACCACATCGTAAGTATCAATGTTGCCTTGGATCACCTGGAGAAGAGAGTTCCTTACCAGCAACTTCTTGCTATCGTGCTGTTCATTTGTACAGTGGTGTACTTGTACCCTATCTTTTGAGACTGGGGAGCTTTCCCATGGACTATCTGCAGAGGATCAGCTGCTGCTGCTCCCGTCCTCCTACCTGGTACATGGCTTACAGGGTGAAGGGTGCTGCCGTTTCACCTCCTGTCCACTACAGACCCATACCAGGCTGTATTCTGAGGGAAAGGAGAAAGGCAGGTGGGAGATGAATGTATGTGTGGACCATACATTGCAGAAAGCTCCAGTTACTAGTACGTAACCTTCTTTCTTCAAGTGAGTTTCCACGCACGCTCTAACAGCGGGTAACTGAGCACTTGCCCTCATCACTAGGTACCTGGGGGAGGGTCCTGATACCCTTTTTCTACAAGCCAGCAAAACTCCAGAGGTGCTATAGCATTTGAGGGATGAAGGTGCAAGAAGCAG